TTTTGGCTCAGGTCATGGTCTCGGGGTCCTGGGATCGAGCCCCACATCAGGCTCTCTGCTCGGCGGGGAGCTGGCTTCCCCCTCTCTCTCTGCCTGCATACTTGTGATCTCTGTCTGTCAAATAAATAAATGAAATCTTAAAAAAAAAAAAAAAAAAGCAAGCTAGAATTTGATCAATGGCAACAAATACGGTCCTCTGTTTTGCTCGAAGTTGCAGACTCATTTTGTTCATTTTCAAGAAGACACCTGCAAATGCCCAAGACTGAATAACTATACTTTGTCCTTTCAAGTAAACTGGTTCTGGGTGAAAAAAGGAGCCGATTCCGCTCACAACATGGGCGTGCACGGCACACACACATATGTGTGAATCACACAACTACTATTCCTTGAGATAACTGTAGTATTTAAGGATGTAGAAGTGCTTGAGGCAAAGATGCTATTGCATCGCATAGATTAAAATGCCATTTACTCAAAATTTAATAAAATAATTATTACCACTTCACCAAGAACATTCTTCAGCAAAGCTGACATTATACATTCACACTTGGTAGTAAAGAGTAAAATGGTTAACTAGCAGAAGCTGGTGTCAGTCTTACTGTAAATGTCAACACACAATGAAAAAGAAAAACACAGTCTTGGTATTAATGTGAAGTCTTAACTTTGGAGACCCCTTGAAAGGGGGCCAAGGGGGCCTGTGAACCACACTTTGAGAACGGCTTAAAGAAACTTGCAACAAGTACACCAGCATACTATATATAGGGATGTTCGTAGAAAAAAAACGCCCAAATGTCCATCAAAAATAGACTGAATAGGGGCGCCTGGGTGGCTCAGTGTGTTAAGCCTCTGCCTTCAGCTCAGGTCATGATCTCAGGGTCCTGGGATCGAGTCCCGCATCGGGCTCTCTGCTCAGTGGGGAGCCTGCTTCCCTCTCTCTCTCTGCCTGCCTCTCTGCCTACTTGTGATCTCTCTCTGTGTGTCAAATAAATAAATAAAATCTTTTAAAAAAATAAAATAAAATAAAAAATACTTTCTTGGGGCACCTGGGTGGCTCAGTCAGTTAAGCACATGCCTTTGGGTTAGGTCATGATCCCAGGGTCCCAGATGGAGCGCCACACCTGACTCAATGCTCAGCAGGGAGTCTGTTTCTCCCTCTCCCTCTGCCTGCGACTCCCTCTGCTTGTGCTCTATCAAATAAATAAAATCTTTAAAAAATAAAAATAAAGAATACTTTCATAATTAATAAAAACCACATGTAGTTGGAGATCTCAAGATAAAATGGATACTAAAATCAATAGGGTTTATGAAAGGAGGAGAACAACTTTTAAGAAGACTGCTCATATTCACTTTAGTGTTAAAACAATACAACTATTATTGAACTTAAAAACTGGGTAGTGTCCAATAATGTAGTGTTCATAAGTGGGTCAGTATAAGAGAAAGAGCATACCTGTGAAAAAGCCTAAAACATGAATGTTTCAAACACCTTTGGGAAGAAAATTTTTGTGATAAACTATCTGCCTGTTAGTGGGGGTTAAAAGATAAAAAAAGCACATACTGAGGGCAGTTTGCTCGCCATCCTGTCCTAAGCACACTGCACTCCCAGGGAACTGAGTAGACACTCAACATCCACTGCACAGGCAAGTAAAAATGGGAAATCAAATGAATATGCCTCAGGAAATTCCAGGATTCAGTTTCTCTGTGCAAGACAATTACACTTTCTAAATCCCTATGACAATTTCCTAATATTTTTGTCTGCTAAACCTAAGCACCCAATCTACAAAAAGCAAACTAAATGCATTCCTCTACCTCCCCATTTATCACTGATACATGTCACAGGCTGTATTCCCAAAAACAGTCACACAATATTTTCAGTCCTACCTGCTCTTCTAGAACCTCGATGTTCCTCGTCAAGAAAGGTGGATCCCCTTCTTTTGAACATAAGCAGGTCTTTATGATGGCCATGGTAATAGTTATGACAGAAATCACACTGTGTGATTGGGGGGTTAGGACATAAAAAGAACTAGAGCTTCCATGTGGGCTCAGTGTCTTGAGACACACAGCTTAAAGCCCATGGTGCCATGTACCGAGTCTGACTATTCTGAAGCCACCATACTCGAGAGACCACATGGAGAAAGAGGGATGCAGGCAGAGCCTCAGCTCTCACCCCCATCCTTCTGATTTTCCCCACCCAGGCAAGTGGACTCCAACCCCAGTCACTATCTGACTGAAACTGCATGTGAGACCCCAAGCGAGAACCACTTACACCAACCTATTCAACCTCCAGAAGCATGGAAGAGAAAAAGAAAATGATGGTTTTTGTTTTAAGCCATTAATCTGTTACACTGCAATCTACAACTGATGTAATATATGCAAAATACTTCTTGTATCCATATTGTAAGTGAAACAGTAAGAATGTAGAAAATTTTGGGGCACCTAGGTGGCTCAGTAGATTAAAACCTCTGCCTTCGGCTCAGGTCATGATCCCAGGGTCCTGGGATTAAGCCCTGAATCCAGGCTCTCTGCTCAGCAGGGAACCTGCTCCCCACCACCACCCCGCCTGTCTCTCTGCTTACTTGTGATCTCTGTTGGATAAATAAATAAAATTTTTTTAAAAATTTAAAAAAAAGAATGTTAAAAATTTTCAATTTTTACTTAACAAAGGATAATATTAATTAAAAAAAATTTTTAAACTATCCTGGTCACAAAAATCTAAATTGGTAAAACCAAGCAAACTAGCGTTCTAACTAATTAGATTTCCAATAAGTTTTCAAAAGCCAGTGGCCCTCAATATTGCCTTTAGCTTTCAAAAATCACTTTAATCCTGGGGTGCCTGGGTGGCTCAGTCATTAGCCATCTGCCTTCGGCTCTGGTCAAGATCCCAGGGTCCTGGGATTGAGCCCCGAATCGGGCTCCCTGCTCAGCAGGGATCCTGCTTCTCCCTCTCCCACTGTCCCTGCTTGCGTTCACTCTCTTGATATGTGTTTCTCTGTCAAAGAATAAATAAAATCTTTAAAAAAAAAAAATCACATTAATCCTTTCTCATGTACTTCCAGTTCTCAAAGTGTGGTCCCTGGAGTGGCGGGCATGAACATGGCACGGGAATTTGGTGTAAATCAAAAACTCTGAGGAAAGGACATGTGCTACGTTTGAGACCACTGCCCTAAGATTTGCCATATTCCTTTTTTCAATTTTTTAGGCACTTCCCTTTGTTATACCCTGTGACACAGGCAAAGGCGAGGCTACCACTCTTATTTTATAGTTGAAGAGACTGAGGCTTGGAGCAAATAACGAAAGAGTTCATCCAAGTTGATACAGTGAGGACACGGTGCTGGGGATGGAAACTAAAGACACAACATCCTGTGAAGACATCTGGGCATCGAACAGGTTTCCAAATTATTCAAGTTTATAATTTTGTTTTATTTTATTTTAAAGATTTTATTTATTTGACAAAGAGAGAGATCACAAGTAGGCAGAGAGAGAGGGGGAAGCAGGCTCCCTGCTGAGCAGAGAGCCCGATGAGGGACTTGATCCTAGGACCCTGAGACCATGACCTGAGCCGAAGGCAGAGGCTTAACCCACTAAGCCACCCAGGCGCCCCCAAGTTTATAATTTTAAACACGTTAATTGGACAGGCCTCTTCATAATTTTAGTGTCTATGTTTAGGAATAATGTCACAGGGAGTAATACTCAGCATTGGAACCCTGTCTCCTCCCGTAATACTGTGTTATCTTGGCTGAGAAACTTCACTTTTCTGAACCTGCGAATATAAGAGAGAAGGTTGCTTTAAGGGTTAACAACAATAGCTAAAAGCTGGGCTCTCATTACGTACCAACAACGGCTGTATACGTTTAAACAAATTACCTTACCTTATCCTCCTAATAGCACTCTGAGGTAAGTATTATCCCTACCTCAATTTTCTAGGTAAAGAAATTGGAAGCACAAAGTGATTTTAAATAAGCTTCCCAAGTCATAGAGCTCCCTATGGAGCCACAGAGACGGAATCTGAGCCAGGAAGTCTGACTATAGAACCTGAATTCTATAACTGTTTTCTCACTTAAAATAATCAAATGAAATGACCCACATAAGGTGCAGAGCACATTGCTGGAGTTTAATAACCACGAGTAATTTTACCATTATTGTTGGGAATATCTACTACTTTTACTCCCTTAATAGGTAGGTCACTGCTTATTTCCAGTACCCCAATATTCTGGGAAAGATGTCCAACACATTGAAAACAAGTAAAATAAAATGCAGGTGAAGGGAATGAGGAGTGTATTGTGGATCTTAGGGTGTATCCTAACAAGGACTAGAGAACGTATTCTCAACATATTTAGCATTTTATGCTTATAATTATTTCACTCGTGCCCGAAGGCTCTTAACACATATACCTACATGTTAATGCTGGTCCTAAAAACATGCAGGAAGCCTAAGACCGAACTGTAATACTGTATTCAGTGACACCGGAGTCATTAGGAAATCTGACAAGGGACTCAGTAAAATGTTAACAGTCCTGGATTTTTGAGTGTGAACTTTTTTTTTTTTTAAGATTTTATTTATTTATTTGACAGAGGAAGAGAGAGATCACAAGTAGGTAGAGAGGCAGGCAGAGAGAGAGGAAGAAAAGCAGGTTCTCTGCTGAACAGAGAACCCGATGCGGGACTGGATCCCAGGACCCTGAGACCATGACCTGAGCCAAGGCAGAGGCTTAACCCACTGAGCCACCCAGGCGCCCTTGAGTGCGAATTTTCTTATCTACCATCCTTGCATTTGCTGCAAATGATTTTTTTTATTGATATAATGAAAAGTTCAAGACTATCCGAAAGATGAGTTAAGACTTACCTTCAGTCCAATTGTCTATGGAAAAAGTTTTGAAGACATTTATGATTTCCTCAAGTTAATCTGATAAAGCCCATCCTGCCCCAAAGCTAATTTATCCAGAAGAGCTACTTCGTACTCACAGCGAAGACCTAGCACATCACCATCACTGATTGCCTTGTACTTACCTCCACGGCATAGTGGAAAGCTGAGGAGCCAGGGTGCAAGGACAGGTTCTGAAGAGGCTTGATACGTGGTTTCTCCCATCCACACTGTGAGGACCACTCCACTGTCAACATGTGATCCGTGAACACAGTTCCAAAAACCAGAGTACTTGGGTCTGGTTTTTCCTTTAAAATGGAGGCTGGTGTGATTATTAGATCTTTGGCCTGAGGAAGAAAAATCGGCACCATTAAAGAAAAGTTACTGGACATCCCCTGGCTGCATAATACAGAGGGTGAAAAGACAAAATTTAGGTCACTGGCTACAAAAAAGTGAAATCATTTGACTTTTTTTTTTTTTAAGATTTTATTTGACAGAGAGGGATCACAAGTAGACAGAGAGGCAGGCAGAGAGAGAGAGAGAGAGAGAGAGAGAGAGGGAAGCAGGCTCCCTGCTGAGCAGAGAGCCCGATGCGGGACTTGATCCCGGCAACCTAAGATCATGACCTGAGCCGAAGGCAGTGACCTAACCCACTGAGCCACCCAGGTGCCCCGAAATCATTTGACTTTTAAATGCTGGCAACTAACTCAGAAATTTAACAGCACTACATGAGCCAAACAAATCTTGTTGGCATTCAGAATCTGACTTGCTGTTTAAAATCTCTACTGTACACAGACTAATAAATAAAGACTAGTGATATTTAGAAACAGGGACAAAATAGCAGAACAGGTAAAATGATGGAAAAAGAACACATGCCTTCCTTGTTCTCACCACAGGACTTCTATCAAGCACTCAGGAATGAGGGAAGGGGTGTCTTCTAGAATAATGATAGCAATACTCATAATGATTTGTTAAACTAAAATTAAAGTCATTAAGAATAGAATCTCTTAGTGATGGTTGTACTCCAGCTCCCTCAAAGAATTCTTGGCACAAGCCTTCAAACCCCCCTGGGTACATCAGAGAAGAAAGGAAGAGAATGAAACAAATGTTTTCCTCTTTGAAAACAGAGAAGTAGAGAATGTACACCAAGATATAAATCCTCTATTCTGTGTTGAGGAAACAGTGAACAAAAGACCTCTTATTGAAAGCAAGAAAAATAAGAGTAATAGGAAACAACTTCACACAGCACCATTACACCAACTCCCCACAAAGCTAAGCTTGAGCATTATAAATGTCCAAACACACACACCCCAATCACAGTACCATCTCTAACCTCACAACAGCTGTAGACAGCCGACAAACCAAAGGGGAAGGAGCATTTTAATCAGTAAAAATACTAACCAGGAACAGGTTCAACTTGTTAACAGGTTGTAAGGAAGGTCAAACTCCATAAGAGTACTCATTGCCCCCCAAAATCAAGTACAGAAGTTCCCTTTAGATCATCAGCTCTTATCCTTATATTAAGATGATCCAGGGGCACCTGGGTGGCTCAGTCGGTTAAGCATCTGACTCTTGATTTCAGCTTGGGTTATGATCTCAGGGTCATGAGAATGAGCCCCGTGCCAGCTCCGGGTTGGGCATGGGGCCTGTTTAAGATTCCCTCTCACCCTTTCCACTTCCCTGCCTCATGCACATGCTCTTAAAAAAAAAAAAAAAAAAAAAAAAAAAAAATCCAATCGCTTCTGATTAATTCACTGCCTTATACATGCCTCAGTCACTTGATATATTATGAATGATAATCAGCTTTATTTTTATAATAACATTCAGCTGAATGTATTCTAAAACAACAAAAAAGCTCACATTACAGGGAAGCCTAAGGCACTAAAGATAACATATTACTGTAATTTTCAGATTTAGTAATGTTACTTTGGAATATGCCAATAAAATGCCAAATTTGGAGGCAAATGGACTTTCTTTTACCACTATTTAATCCAAGTAAGTAAATTAACTTAAAACCTTTTATTGAGTGCAGAAAAAGAATTTATTTAAAGGGATACACTCCAGCTCAATTATTTTGTTTCCTGAATCCTGTTTCTCTCCCTTTATCCTCTAGACCTCATCCCCCAAATAGGATATTGGGCAAATTTCACCAAAAGGCTAAATGCAGCCTTCTGGTCTATTTTGTAAATAAAAGTTTTATTGGAATACAGTCACACTGTTCTTTTAGCTTTAACAATGGCATCGTCCATGAATAATGACAGAAACGTTATGGTCCTCAAGCCTAACTATTTATTATTCGGCCCCTTAAAAAGTTTGCCAGTCCCTCTAGACTGTTTGGACAAGAACTGAGTAGATGTTCCAGTGAAATCTCTAGCCCTAGCACAGTGCCTCACACACACAATACAGTACATCTTAAATGCTAAAAATAATATTCGGCTGATTTCAGGTACTCCCTAAGGGATGACAGGCTCATGTGCAGAAGATGGCCAGGATTTAAAGTGAGTGAAATTCTAACATAAACATTTCATTACATGAATGGTTTTACAGTGCTCTTGCACAACGAAGCACTCGGAACTTGGCTTTAGTTGGCTTTTTTAGTGGCTTTTCTTAGCCTTGGGCTAAGAAAAATCTGTAACCATATCACTAGAGTTACATAAACAATGCAAATTTTCACCTATTAAAACTACTAATAAAAATTTCTCAGTAACAGGGGAAAATAGTAAGACCCAGAACAGAAAGGTGAGAGTCGGTAAAGATGGAGAAGTGAAAGTGTGAGTAGAAGATGTGAGTTTTTCCTGCTTGCTGAATTTGGGGTATGTCTTCGATATTGCAAAGGCAACAGACCTCAGCCTTTCCCCCTAATGACAGAACGAATACTTTGTATGGTTCTTCAAAAGTAAAATAAAGATCACCTTCTCTGTTATTTCTTTCATTAGCTAACCTATTCTCCAATGAGCTAATCAACAAGAAATCAACTATACATGATCCTTACAGCTTTCAGGATTTCTAAGCTCTCCAATAAATAACCACCTGCCATGAAACCAATAGGCCATGGAATATATACTTTGTATCAATAACAATCTACATAATATTTAAAAACAAGACTATGGCCTCATATAAAACAGCTTTTTTAATTTTTCCTTCCCTTGCTCTTTCTTCCATATCTGCTTTATTATTCTTAGTATTTTGCCTTTTTATTCACTCAATGAACACTGACTGCACAAGCACAATGGTTCAGGCACTGCACTAAGCAAGCACAAGAGATGCAAAGATGCCTGTGGCTCAGTCCCTCCTCCTCAGCAAATTCAACATCAGTGATGGACAGACAGAAAGCAGCCGCTGTGAGCAAGTATTACTCACCCAACCTATTATCTGCTGAGCTACTGTGTACCCATTGTTACAGGCCCAAAGGAATCTCTGGAAGGAAAACAAGTAAAGTCCTGTTCTCTTAATGCAGGGAAACAGTATAAAGAATTAAGTGGATAAAGAGAGGTAAGGAGGCAATTAGTGCTATGAAGAAAATGAAAGCTGCTTAAAAGGATAGTGTGGGGAAGAAAAACCCATTTTTGGTTAAAGGGTTGGGAATGACCTCTCTGATGAGGTGTCCTTTGAGCAGAGACTTGAATGAAAAAAGAAGGTAGGCCATGTAGATATCTAGAGGCTAAGTGTTTGAGGCAGAGGAAGCAAGGGCCCAGGTCTTGAGAGGGGAATAGACTTGGCATGTTCAAAGAACCAGGAAGGCTCAGTGTGGCAGGAATTCAGGAAATGTGGGGAAAATGGAGTGGCAGAAGATGTCACAGAGGCACTGTGGCTGCTGGAACAGCGGAAAGCTCTGGGCCAAGAAAACTAGTTACTTCATGCTATACTGACCAACATTCCAGTTCTCCATGGGTTCTGACTCCGTGCAATTAAGAGTGTACCCTGTCTTGGGGCACCTCAGTGGCTCCGTCAGTTGAGTATCTAACTGGATTTTGGCTCAGGTCATGATATCCGTTGAGGTCCTGGGATCAAGCCCCACATTGGGATCTGCAAGGAATCTGCTTGAGGATTCTCTCTCTCCCTCGTCCCCACTCCCCACTTGCACACATGCTCTTTCATAAATAAGCTTTGAAAAAAAAAAACAAAAACCTGTACCTCATCTTCCTTATTTCCCCAGGAACCTTTACCAAAGAGGCTGCTAACAATTAAAACAACCCCAGTTTACCTTTACTCCAGGCAATTTGAAGTAACCATTAGGGATAATACTAGAGGTATGGCTACCATTCTTTCTTAATTTTTTAAAAATATGAAGGAGCAAAGCAGGAATAGGGAGAAAGATAGTTTGACAGTGGCAAAATACAAAAATCCGGGTAACACTGAGTTTTTTCCTTAAGCCTCTACATTTCCTCCTCTGCATCAGAGATCCTTGGCCCTGGCTATACATTGGATTTAAATACGAAGCTTTTTAGAAACACTAAAGCACACTCCATTCCAGAACTGAACGAGAACCTCACAGGGAAAGGACAGGGGAGTGGCTGGTTGTTCGTTCAAACTTACCCACAACATTCTAAGTGGCCACTCAGGGCTCAGAACCATTCTACACTATCTCCCTTGAAGATTTCAGCCACAGCGAGGAACAATGGTTTCCAACACTGGCTGCTAAATTGGTTCACCTGGGAAGTTTTTTGTTTTTTGTTTTTTCGTTTGCTTGTTTAAGGAAATGCCACTGCCCATGCTGTAGCCAAGATGCACAAAAACTCCAGGAAAAAAAGGAAAGAAACTCAGGAGTGGGACTTCACATCAATTTTCACTGAAGGTTCTCCAGGAGATTCCAAGGCACTGGAAAGGCTGAGAACCACTTACGAGATTCAAGTCTCATTTGTGAATTCTTACCAGAAGCCATACATTATTTCATAATCACAGGACCTTAGTTATCTCAAACGGAATGTATCTAAAATAGGCCACATGTTTCCGCCAAAGCTTGATCCCTATTTCTGATATCATATTACATTCTACGTCTTGCCTTCTTAATCCTTAATTCATCTTATAAGAGGAATGCATTGTTTATTTTTAAATTCTACTGTAAAGCGAAGAAAAATGAAGTTTAAAATTCCCAACATTCAAAAAATAAACAAATCACTAACATTTCCAACTAGTACCCTGGCCACCATGTTCCTACTTCCCAGACATGACCTCCAATAAAAATCCATTGTGCATGTTTTGTTATATTTCCTTTACATTTTCATTACTTTCAAGATAATATACCATTCTCAACAACATTCTCCCAGCCCTCAGCTTCCCCATCAGTAACTGAGACACGCGTACTTTCAAGAATTTCTTTGATAGGTCTGATTTCTCAATTTCTACC